TTTGTGAGGTCCTCCTGTCATTTGTCAAATGCAAAGAATTCACTAAGCTTCTCTCAAACCCGGTTTGAGTGCACATTTTAAACTTTTGCCATCAAGCAATCCCACCAATTCCCTGCTTCCAGGCTCTGATAGATGTGAAGAAATTTTTAAAAGTTAAAATCCTCTTTACAAGACATTTAAAAGTTTTGGTTTAGGTTTTTGAAGTTCCTGACCACATTTGAATTAATATGTTTTGAAAACTTTATTATTTCCATATAGGCAAGTTCTCCATCTATTAAAATGCCATTTTTTTCCTTGTGACAGTCTTAAGTTTCCTTCTTAAGCCAGTCAGGGGTTTGAACCACTTTGTTTTCTTCAGCTGTAGCACACATTTTACCTGGGCTTTTAATATTATTTGTTTAATAGCTGTTAATATGCTTGTGGACCTCACTTTTACATAGCTTATTTTCCTGAAGTTGAATATAATAATTTAAAATTCCTGGGTTTTAGGAAACACTCTGTTGCTAGAGTATCTGAAATATAAAATCATATTATTATATCAGTTTATAGGATTTTCTCATGTAAGAGATTAGAAATATGTTTGTCAGTTGAATGTCCTTAAAGGGCTGAGCATTTTGGTGGTGAAATTCCTCTTCAACATTCTTGTAGGTCTCATCCATTTCTTTACTTCTCTAATCTATATTATCCACTTTTCCTATTACTTTCTAGTCAAAATACTCTAATTCAGTCACCCAGACTTAAAATAAACTCCTACGTCATCCTAGGCCAGGATGACTCTGAAGTATTATGCACACTGAAATTGTCCTGTAGGTCTGTAATTACAGATATTGTGTTTTGCAGAATAAAATGGGAATCTCCCTTTCCTCCTGCTTAGATGTACCTATCTGCATCTTGTGCATAAACCACCTTTTTTTTTTTTTTTTTTTTGGTTAAGTTAACCTTAGTTTAGCTTCTTTCAAGAAATTACTTACTTTACCAAATGCTTTTTACATCAGTTTGCAATAAGTAAAAATACTCAGGAGTGTGAAAAAGTCTCAGAGAGGCATGAAGAGCATCCACACTATCTGAGGGTCTTAGAACATCCCCCAATGTTTGCCATATTCATGTCTTTTGTGCAATCTTGCTGGTCCTGATGAATAAATATTTATTTGCTTGAAGTGGCCCCTGCATGTGCACAAGTGTTGCACAGAAAATTAGTTGATTTACTACCTGTTTTTATCTTTTATGAAAATAGAGAGAAAAGATTGGCAAAACCAGATAAAATAAAACAATTCTAGGATGCAGTCTGATCACAGCTTTCTATCAGACACAATCTGAAGTACCAACAAGCTGAATATTCTGTCTTTTAAACACTTTTTTCTTCCTTTTTGACAGGATGAGACAGTCTTAACTGAGCATGGAAGAAGCACATCTGTCAATCATGTCTCATCCATCATAGCAAAGAAAAAAAAAGCCAAAAAAGTAAGTAATATCTGTTACTAATCATAGTTGCTATTACTGCAGTTTTATTATTCTATGTTTATCAGAGAGGAAAGATCAATTTTCCATAATGTACATTCATTTTACTATTTCAAAAATATGCAAATATCACAGGGAATAATGTGTACTGAAATAGGTTCATATAGTGCATATATCTGTACTGTTACTCATTCTCGAGTTAATTCAATAAATGAAAAAGCAATGAAAACTGTAGTAGATAGGGAAGTTTCAATATACACACTCCACAACTGATATGCAGAAGTTATAGGCTATAACTATAAAGATATATATAGTGCTTATTTTGTACCTAAAAGTGTTAGACAACCAGAGAAAGTTTTGAAGTGTATTTTCTTGAAACCTCTATAGCAACATAGGCAGGGGTGAAAAAATCCAGGGTAAAAAAGAATAAAAAAAGAAAAAGAAAAGAAAAAATCCAAGTATGCCTACATATACACACATAAATATATTTTACTTTTAAATTGGATATTTGAATCAGCTTAGTTCCTGACCTTGTAATGACCACCCAGGCACTCTCCCTCATCCTACAGGACAAGGAAAGAAAATAAGATGACAAAGCTCCTGGTTTGGTAAGGACAGAGAGAAAACTTACCATTTACTGTATCAGACAAAACAGACTTGATATGGGTAAAATAATAATTTACTTTCATAGAACTAGAAATATATTTTGGGCCAGTGAGAAAGAGAAAGAAGAGCTAAATACACACTCCATTTCTTGCCACGCTCAACTTCACTCCTCTACTTCAAAGTTTTCTACCTCCTCCTTTTAATATAAGTGAAGACAGGGTGGGAGAGAGGGATTTTTGTATTTCTCACCAGCTCCTCTGTGCTGCTCCTTCCTTCTCTCACTTTTTCCCTGCTTCAGTGTGGGTCCTCTTTATGTGCTGCAGGGTGAAACTGTTCCTGCATGGGCTCTTCTCCATTCATCACAACTCCTGCTTACAGCCTGTTGCTGCTGCTGCCATGGAGTGCTCCTGTCAGGGCATATCCACATGTTGCAGCATGGGGTCTTATGTGGGCTGCAGTGCAGATGTCTGCTCTGGCATAGTTCTCTCCACGGACTACTGGAAAATACCTGCTCCACCATGGTTTTCTTCAAGGGCTACAGCTCTGACTTGAGCTCTCTGCTGCAGGACCTCAAGATCCTCTTCCCTCTCCTTCTTCAATGACCTTGGCTACTGCCTGGTTGTCTCTCACACTTCTTTCTCCCCACATTCCTTCAATGTTTTCTGCTCTTTCTTAAATATGTTTGTACAGGTGCCATCCTTTTCAGTGAGAGGCTCAACTGTCCCCTGCAGTTGGTTGGAGCTGACTCAAATGGGTTGATTCCACCATGGGCCCATCCCAGCCCTGTTCTCACAAAGAGCACTCCTGCAGACTCCCTTCTAGACAAAATCTTGGTTCCTACACTAAATGAAATTGCATAGCCTTCAAGTGAAAAAGGGAGAAG